CCCAGGTCGCGTCCTCTTTGGAGTTCACGAACCTTACCAAGGAGGTGCAGAAGATGGGACAGGCGTGTACCACAGCATTGTCTGCGGAAGAAGCTGAGCATCGTGCGAGATGCACAGGACGTTCAGGGGCTTGAGGTCACCGTCACTGACCGGGTGATGTCGGAAGTTCAACACGTTCAAGATATCTTTGCGATTCTGGTACCTCGACGGCCCACGGTAGAGGGAGCCGGGGCGGAAAGGCGGAAAGCAAAGGGCGAGCCTGGGCCTCTCAGGAGAGCAACTTCCTGGGAGTGGTGCGGAGCCAGCTGGACAAAGCGACGGCCTCCTTCTCCAGCACGCCACCCGGCGCAGAGATCTATCGATGAGAGGGGTTCTGCAGGTATGCGCCAGATGTTCCTGGGCTTTCTCGATGTCATTTGACACTCATAGGCAAGGCGAGGGGAGGAGGATTCAAGATCGATAGGGAGTCGGGGACCCACAGAAGGCCCAGCTGTACTGTTTCATCTGCGATCCCAGGACCTCCATGTTCAGGACAAGTTTGAGGCGAGATGTGGAGAAGATGCTGAAGGACACCACCTCTGGCCAGGCGAGCAGGAGTTCACAATTTCGTGTCGATCGCAGCATCATGGATGAGGTACCGCATAGTGAGCTCCGATCCTGATCGCAGGCCCATCGGTCGCAACCCACAGCTCCAGCTGCGGAGGAGCCAGAAGACACAACGCCGGATTCCCAGTGAGATGTCGAGACAACGACGTGTAACTTGCATGCTTCGAAGGCACTCCTGCAAGATGATCGAGACCATCTTTGCTTGTTTCAGCGCCTTCGTCGCCTTCTCAGTCAGGACGTCGAAGTCCAGGAGGTGCAGATTCGTAGAGTTGTGAGGAGTTCTGCTTGCTCGTCACCAGCGCGATGCTGGAGCTGCAGACTCAAGAAAGATTCCTGGCGGCCATCGCCATCGTGGTAGGCAGGGCCAGTCTTCGCTGAACTCCGCTGATCCCATCACTTGATTACTGCTCAATTTGATCGTCGGAAAGTGGTCGTTGTTCCATCCGATCCATGGTCATGTGCATGGCACATCAGGATCCGATGTTTGCACAGAGTCACTGAGGTTTCCAGGAGGCAGGAAACTGGCCTCCGAAGACTCGCTGACATGAATTTCACGTTCACCAGGAGAGTTTATGCCCATGGCTGTGCACCGTTTTAAAGAATCTCTTCGAATGCTTTAAGGAGGCAAAAAGCAGGCCATTTCGTCAGCAGATCCCTGCCCAACCCGAGCCAGCGGCATCATCTGCACATCTTCCCTGTGTTTTGGCATCGGCTTTTAGTCATTGCTGCGATCCAACACCTTCGCCGTCCCTATCTTCATGCATTCCCTGCTATCCTCCGCCTCGTCTGAGCACAGTTTTGTAAGTTATTTGTAAGTATTGTCTGCGAGGATCTTTCCATGATTTAACTCCGATCACTTACTCGGAGTAGGAGCTGAGCAGCTTAGTCCTCTCTTGGCAGGTCCATACCTGCTCAACTGTGCTACATCCTGAGCCTGGGCTTACAGTACATCATAGAGTAAAGGCTCTCACTGCCGAGGTGGTGGTGCTGATTTTCTTCTTCCTTCTGACCGATGCATTGGCCAGGTCCGTCCGCCTTGCCTCTCTTGTGTGCATTGCCAAAGAAGCAGATTGACGTAAAGAGGGAGAGAGCAGAGGAGAGAGCATGGCAGTCTCAGGTGGATGAGGCAGAACTGGGGCCATGCGCAGCGGCTCCTGGCCCTGGCAGTGCTGAGGCGCGGATACGACAAGGGAAGGAAACGACAGAACTCCTCCCGCGTGAAATGCTGGTGCCAGCTGCTAGCTGCACGTCTGCCTGTCAGACCGGACTGGCTGCGTGTCTTCAGTCTCTATGCACCGCAGCTGCGGTCAGCGCCCAGCGCCTGGGAACAGCGCCGGTGGCAAGAGGCCCTCCGGAGGCGTACCGCGCTGCTGCAGCAGGACGTGGAGATGAGCAACTGCAGTCTTCAACCATTGGAAACTCAGGTTGCTTTCTGCCAGTGTCATAAAGCTCGACCTTTTTCGAGTTTAGGTCCGAAAGTGGAGTGAGGAACTGCGTGTTTCCATGGTCAGCGCCTCCCCACGGCTCAGCCTGTTAAGCGAAGGAATATGAAAACCAGTCCAGGGTGCAGGGAAGGTTTGCGGCGTGTTGCGGCACAAACAGTCACTCCGCCGTTCTCCGTGAAGGTTTCTCGAAGCCGCAGGCAGGGTTGCCGATCCAGCGGGCTCCAATTCTCTGTCCACTTTATGGTTTGGCGAGATGTGCATCCGTTGGCTTAAGTGCAGGAGTGTGACGAGCTCAAGCTGTTGGTCCGGCCGACGGAGGCGACGGAGGTGCCAAATCTGCAAAATCCTCGGTGAAGTGGCAGGTGGCACACCAGACCCAGGACGTCGAGGCATATCGCCCACAGGTGGGAGCAGCACAGTCGTCAAAAAACTCAGCATGTCCACACTCCGCAGCTGGAACGCAGAACCATGATGGCTAGAGGCTAGATTGGACCAAAACGAGTCCTTTCGGATAGGAGCGGCACCTTTGGCATGGGTGGAGTGTCAGGTGACTGCACTCCACGAGCCGCAGCACGGCATGCGCCGCGCACTCATCATGAGCCTTCAAAAAGAGCGCAGAGGGCCACAGGACTGCAGCGCTTTGCTCCACCAAGGCGCACCGGCGGCGGCTCATGCACACGTAACGCTCCGGAACCACCACGCCGGCAGCCATCAGGCTGGGCTCGCCTCGAGTAGCGGCGTAGCGGCGTAAAAAGTACTGCAAAACCTCTGAGGATGCCCCGCCACTGGACAGCTCGGGGCTTGCGACTTCTGTGCCCTTGAGGCAGCGACAGGCATTTGCTTGTACGTTGGCATAATCTGCAGCTTTTGCCGCGAGCAGGTCAACCAGCATCCCTGCTGCCACAGGCCAGGCAGCTCTTCTCGGAGCAGATGGGAACCCGCAAACGACGCACAACAGCTGCCAGCCCACAGGTGCAGCGCCTCCGACTTCGCCGCTGCGGAATCGAGAGTGGGACGGATGGCTCAGGTAGGGTCGGCTGAGTTGGCCTGGACACCCTTACGGACCCATGTCACCGCAGGACGCACTCGCAGCAAGAGGCGCAGCGAAGCCCAGGACGCCCGATGCAGAGCAAAGGAAGTTTTAATCAGGATCGAAAGTAATTTAATCGGGCACAGTGAAAAACTCGGACAGGATTAAGAACAAGCCTATGCCCCACTGCTGCCTGCCCTACGATTACTAAGTTATTATCATAGTCATTACGATTACTATGACTACTAGTATCACTGTTCTTACGATCATTACTATTGTCAGTACTACATGCTTACGGATATTACTCATACTAATGTTTACTAAGATCATCGAAAATGTTTACAGTAGAATCTACAGTAGATTATCTTGGACCTTATATCCCAAAATGAGAGTCAGGGGGGCTTCTCATCATCTGCTGTAGATTCTACTGTATCTAGCCTTTTCGATAAGAACTTACTGGTGTCACTTCGGTCAAGATTTTTAGACACACACTATTACGATACCTTCTAGTCTTTCCATTACTCTTGGTGTTGCTATTGTTCTGCTTTTGCGAATACTAGTATTATTTTTATTAGAACAGTTGTTAGTATTATTATGATAGTACTACTGGTTTGATCATATTTGTTCTGATGACTATGAATGTTATTGCATGTTACTACTCCTATCACTTCTGTTGTTGCAATTTTATTATTGCAATGATTACTATCATTACTTGTTTTTGCTTCTTTAATTTTACTATCAGAATAATATCACTAGTATTACTAGTACTGCTACTGCTACTGCTACTGCTACTGCTACTGCTACTGCTACTGCTACTGCTACTGCTACTGCTACTGCTACTCCTGCTGCTGATGCTGCTACTCCTACTGCTGCTACTA